ATATTAAATTGCTCAGTGCAAGCTTCTCTTCGCAGTCAGAGGATCTGGTTCAGTTGATGATTGAGAGGATACTGTGTCTCCTAGGATAAGGCAAAGCCATAGAAGCTGTGCGGGGGATTTTTCGAGAAGAGCTTGTGCTCATTACACAAATACTTCCTTGTTCATCAGATATCAAGACGAGCAGCCAGGGGAAGGAGACCGTATCCAGAGCCAACATTATCGTCGCCCTTCTTTCGTCCATTCAAGACCCGTTCCCTTGTCGCTCGCTTGCTTCTTAACTCTCGAGAATCCTTCCTTTCAGGACAGAACAAGATCGAATCTCGCAGCCCGCCGGCCCTCTCTCCTTACCTCCACCCCGCCCTCAAGATCCTCGCAGAATCGACACTGGAAGACCTGATGTTATCTGGCGTTCTACATTAGACTGCTTCAGATCAGCTTTCCATTCATGAACGTCATGTCGACCTATTATGTGGGACCTTTCGGGCGTATGTTACCTGTTACCGACCGAAACTCTCCGGAAAGGGAACCAGAGCGTTCAGCTAACGAGCCAGTATCTGGAAACCATCCCTACCAACTTCCCCCACCGCGCACAATGGAGTCTCTGCAATTTGGAACAGACCCCTTTCTGTCCCGGCGAAATCAGGAAGGAAAAGGAGACTCCCGACTCGGCTCAAACGCTCATGGACATCAGCCAGTCATGAATGAACAGCTTCCTTCCGTCAGCGAGCTGTTGACCCCGTCCTCTCGTTCGAGCCAATCGGTGTCACCCCATCGCTCACGGCTGTTCAGTTTTTACCATCCTACGGGCGAAAGCCCCAAGGCCTGTCAGAGTCCCCATACGGCGAGCCATCATGATACTGGTCTTGTTCCACGAACACCTCAAGGAAGACCTGAGGCCCGCGCAGACCCCTTCTCGCGGCCGACGGCCGGAAATTTGCCTTCTCTCTCTCAGATGTCCATCTACACAGCCGGAAATGAGGCTCGTATGCATGCGGGTATTCGTACAGATGTTCCACAACAACAAGCACACCACTCTCCCTTTACACCCCAGGGTCGTGTGAGCCATGATAAGGAATTAAGGGAAGAGGATTCATCACCTGTGACTCACGAGATTGGAAGCGCGGCAGCAAATCAACCACAGACGGCCCAAGTCCGTCCTCACGTGGTCGACGAGCGGTATATAGAGGGTGAAGGCTGGTGTTACATCTACGCTGACGGGTCCCATTGTCCCAAGACCATTGACGGTGTGCCTGTGAATGCAAATTGGGGCGTGACTAAGGCTGGAAAGCCGCGAAAGAGATTGGCACAAGCCTGCCTTACCTGCCGGGAGAAGAAGATCAAGTGCCAACCTAACCTGCCAAAGTGCGACCAATGTCAGAAGTCGGGAAGGGAGTGCCGGTTCGAGAGCGCGTAAGTGACTGACACAAGATATTTTTGTTTGCCCAAAGAGAATCTCGATGCTGATGAAATGGCCCTACAGACCACGAGGCCACCGCGCAGCAGCGAAAGCCAACACGCATGGCAACAGATACGACACGAGAGACTCCTCCTCCTTTGTCGGCCATCATCCTTCTAGCTCTGCCAACTCGATATACTCCGCCGTAAGGGCTTCTGAAAGCTCCGCATCCCTACCTGGCACCAGTTCACAGTCACCAATGTCTGACGCCCACATGCTTACACCCCCTGCCATCAACAGTGCCCACGAACCTAGTTTGGACTCGGATTCACATTACAGATCGAGACGACAGAGCCTCGGCAGACCATCTACTGGCGCTGAGGATCTGAACCGACGGTCTGTGGAAAGCAATTCAGCCCGTGCTACGCCTGATTACACTGAGATCTTGATGGAAATGAGAGATCTGGACCCTCACGATCCCCTTGCGCACGAGTGGAACACCGATCCTTACGAAAACGATGCAGAACTTACAACTCACTACGTCGAGAACTATTTCACTTATGTGAACGACAGCTTGTATTATATCTTCCCCCGAAGGCGCTTTCTCTTGTGGTTAAGGTCGTGTCATACGAAATCGCTGGAGGACAAAATGCTTCTTTACTCAATGATCACACTGGGAGCGATTTTCTCGGACCGGCCTGACAGGCTTGCGGCCATGAAAAGGGCCTCACGCACGGCTCGCTACGCCGTGGAACATAGTCGTCATAACCTCTCTTTGCAGCTCGCACAATCTCGGATTATTATGAGTCTCTGGTATTACGCCATTGGTGCTCTAGAGAAGTCCTGGGATGCGGTTGGCGCGGCAGTTCGAACTGTATGTGGACTGCGGTATAACGTTGAGTTGGGAGGGGTTATTGTGGATCGAGACCGGGTTTGCGAGTATGGCTTGCATCCCCAGGCCCTAATAGAATGCCGTCGTAGGACATTTTGGGTCGCCTTCTTGATGGATGTGAGTGCTACTCCCCTGCGATCGCCCAGTGGACATTGACAGCCAGCTAACCATTTTTTGTCTTTCTGTCTAGCGCCTGTCATGTTTTTATTCGTCAACGTCAGCATTCATTCCCTCACAGACGGCTTATCTTCGAATGCCTTGTCGCGAAGAAGTCTTCGAGGCTCAGCAATATACGACTGTACCATACTTTCAAAGCTTCCTCAACCAGCCGCCCACATCAACCGATGATGAGCTTTCGGAATTGAGTGCAATGGCGCTCTTGATAGAAATGGTATCTCTTTGGGGAGAAGTAACGGATCACGTCTTCCGTTTATCGCTGGTTCCGATGGAGTCATCCACTACACCTTTCGAGGAATTCTATACCACAATCTGCCAGCGTGCAGACGCTTGGGTTGCCAGGCTGCCGGAACATTTGCGATTCAGCACCCTGAATATGGAGCGAAGCTTTCGGGCAGGGAAACCCGATCCGTTTTTCTCGATACATCTGTTATATCATGCAACAATGATGAAACTGAATAGACATACGTGTGGTCAGGACTATCACGCAGAGTTTGTGAGCAGGCAGGTCCGCATGGCCAGGACCCATGCGGCAGAGACCCTGCGGATTTCTCTCGCGTTAGCACATTACACGGGTGAATATGACGCATCGCGGATCGCCGTTGACTCCGCACCCTCGCAAGCGACTATTCTCAACCCTTTCCTAGGTTATGTGATCCTATCCGCAGTCGACATTCTTAGTGCAGCTGGGCTGGTAGCTGATATGCCTGAGTGCGTCAAGCTCATCAGAGGTGGCTTTGAGGCCGTCAAGGAGCTGGGTCGTTTCTGGGAGAGCTCGCTACCATTATTGTCTCTCATCGAGGCTCGTCTGGAGCCATTGATGGAAATCCTCCGTGACCCGACCAAGCTGGACCAGAAGATGGTGTTTGCTGCGAAAGGTCATTCGTTGGACAGCCGGATCCAGAAGCAGCAGTCTCCGATCACCGATGATCTATTCTATGGCGCTCTGCCCCATGACAGACTATTCAGCGCGTTGGGCCGGGAAGACGCTTCATTGACAGAATTCAATATACTCTGGATCAGAGAAACGGTCTGAAAGAGGTCACTGTACTCTGCTTTCTCGTCGTCCATGCACCTTGCACTGTTACGACCTGTATTAAAAGACGCGACTTTTTCCTTCCTCGTCACCAATCCCCGGGTTCAACCCGACTCCATTGATAAATTAAATATCTATCTGGTGAACGATTTCGATGGCATATATCTTGCCAGCTTCAAAAGGTGTACCAAATCCATGCTTGAGCGATTTTTAAGCGATGACTACGGATTGGGGTAGTTTTGCTGTGCGCATTGATGATGTATACTATTGATGAATCTGATGTCTACTTAACGCTTGATTCAAAAGACATGGAGGGGGGGGGAATAGTGGCACTGGTTTGCTTTAGCCTTGATCTCTGCGTATGATATCCGTATTCGATGATTCGTAGATCTGATGATCGCACCTTTTGTTCTGAGATCCTTACTCAATACAGTAATGTGAGCTGCATCCGTCGGCGTCAAAAGTCGAGCTATCAATATTTTTCAGAAGCACCATTGATTATGGCGGTCGCACGGCGTGTTCTGAACCCCTACATGAAGATGTAATAAATCAACTACTTCAATCACTCATGCTAGGCCTTTTGCCATAAAGAGTCGATTTTCACTTTTCAGCCAATATCCATGAGGCCCGTTCATTTATCAGTCTACCTCAGACTTTAGCTCTGTGTCGAGACACTGCTATAAACGAGATAACCCGAATGTGAAAATGCCACCACTACATCCCGCGAACATGAGCTTTACATGAGTTGCATCTTATTTGATGATACCACAGGATGAATGGTATGACGATGAAGGGAGGAGTGAGGACGAAAACAAAGGCGGAGACGGAGCAACGGCATCCCGGAACGCCGTGCACTGTTTTTCTCCCGACGTCATCGAAGCAAAGAAATGAATGGAAAACGGACACAAGGCATCACGCAGTACAATTGCAGTTTCTTCTCAAGATAAGAAAATGGACTGCCGGTGCTGGACGCGCTAGTGAAATCTGTGCACGCGATTCTTACCCACGTATCAAGGTCCGGCTAGACGTTCTGGGTGTCCGCTGCGTTGCGCTGCGTCAGCTACAATGTCCTCCGCCAGCGAGGATTGGGTAGGAGGAGGAGGGAGAGCGGACACGGATGACAAACGGCCCCAGGGGTCGATATACACCTCCGGAAGTAATGATGATTTGAATGAAGACGCAGACTACAGCATGATCATGTCCTACCCCGCCGAAGAAGAGGACTACTACGCCTTGCTAGGCCTCCGCCGGACTCCCGCCCCTAGCGATGCGGAGATCCGCTCCGCGTACCGCAATCTCACGCTCAGCTTCCACCCGGATAAGCAGCCTGCGGAGCTGCGGGAGGCTGCGGAGCGACACTTTGCGCGGATCCAGGAGGCGTATGAGACGCTGCTGGACCCGAAGAAGAGGGTTGTTTACGATCTGCTTGGGGCGGAGGGGGTGCGGAGGGAGTGGGGAGCTGGAGGGGCGATGGGAAGGGGTGGGGAGGCGGAGAGTCAGATTGGTGTGAGGGCCCAGACGCCGGAGGAGTTTCGGGGGTGGTTTTTGGAGACAATGAAGAGGCGGGAGAGGAAGGTGCTGAATAGTTTGGTCCAGAGTAGGGTGGGTTCTTTCCCCTTTGCTGTCTTGCTTAGTTTGTTGCGTGATGTCGTGCTGACTGTGGCGTGGAACGGTAACAGGGCTCGCTGACTCTCGGGGTCGATGCTTCCAACATGATTGAGGTTGACGAGGATGCCGGGGAGGTGTATATCCATGTTCCCTCTCCCAGCTTGTCTTCCTATGCTATCAGATACTCGTTCAAGGCGCCCCTTCCCACACCGGAGGTACTCTTCGGAAAAGAAGAGGCTGAGGACGAGGACGAGGACGAGGATGAAGCGCCTGGTGACAGATCGACTCAGCAGAGAGTCAATTCATATCAGGAGGCTCAAGGGCCTGAGATTACGTTCAATGCAGGTATCTCTGGCAATCTCCGGCGCTCTTTTCGTAAGATGCAATTTCAGTTTGAAGATGGGGAGATGATGACACGAGCGGTATGTTCAGAGATGTACTGTCTTCCGCAACCATCCTGGACTGTTCTCTAACTGTTCAGCAGGTTCCTCTACCCCTGTTCATTGCAGGAAGAGACATCAGTCTGGGCGCCGGCGTAAGCCAACGCTTTGCAGATGTCGCGAGCATGAAAGGGATTCTGACCAAGCGCCCTTTTGCGTTTCTACGAGACTCAGCCTTTGCGTTGAACGCGGCACTCCTGCCGACTCCGTTGTTGCAAGGAACCATTGCCACAGCAGTTCAGCCAATTCCAGGAACGAAACCGTTCCAGGTCAACACGAGCGCCATTATCGCCAACTCGCTCCTAAAAACGCCGCCTATACTTGCAATGCAGGTGACAAAGGAGATTGGTGAGAGGAAGCACGCCTTCTGCTCTTGGTCCAGTGGTACCATCTCCTGGCCAACGGTGCTGCAGGTCTTATTCAGCCCGATTGCCAGCCTTGGGCTCGATACGGAGTCGGCCATATCAATGACTGCTTTTGCTCAGCCGAGTCAATTCCAGCTGGGATTCTTGTCGGTTCCCAAACAAAACAGGAATACAGTTGTGCTGGGTGACGACGAGGACCAGGCGGCGGCGGAGGAGGAGGAGGAGGATGAAGAGGAAGCTGAACTTAGACAGATCCGCCGGAAGGCGCGCAGCGAGGCAACTGCTGCCGAGTCTTGGCAGGCGGTGGTCACCGCATCACCTCAAGAAGCAGGACTGTCCTTCACGTATGCTCGGAATATCTTCAATGGCAAGGCAGCCAGCGAGCTTGCGCGCTCCGAGTGGAGCTCCGAGGGCCATTATTCTTTGCCGCCCGCGAGCGAGCCCCGGTCTGTGCGCGTTGAAGTCCAGAGCTCGGTGAATATGGACCTGTCCCTAGCCTGGAACATCTCCGGCACGCGCCAGGTTGGCAGGTTCACCCGCGTGGGCTTTGGAGTCGGTGTCCAAGGAGGCCGTGGCCTCGTCATGACAGCCTCCTGGAGCAGACTCGGGCAGAAGATCTCCCTCCCCGTTGCGGTCTGTCCGATGGATGTCGTTAATGCAGATGCCGCCGCGCTTGCAGTTATCTTCCCCTGGGCGGTTTACTGCGCACTAGAATTTGGATACATCCGCCCGAGAGAACGGAGACAGCGCCGCCGCGCCATTGCTCGGCGGCATAAGCAGCTGAAGAGGTTAATTCCGAAGAAGAGAGCAGAAAGCCAACAGGCAATTGAGCTGATGGCCGAACATGTACACCGTCGGCAAGCGAGGGAGGAAGAGCAAGGTGGCCTGGTCATCACCAAAGCTGAATATGGCCATTACCCGTCGCCGAAGAGGTGGATAAATGACAGCACTAATGCCGCTAAGGATTTGGAGATCGCTGATGTGACGATACCTGTCGCTGCGTTGGTGGACCACGGCCAGCTGGTGATAACAAAGGACACAGTCAAGGTCAGCACCAAACAGTAACATTGTTATGGACTTCACTAACGGTTCATTAGTTCCAAATTCTCGGCTTCTACGATCCAGCGCCTCTTCTCCCGAAGAAGCTGAAGATTTGGTATACCTATCGCGGGACAGAGCATTTCGTGGAAGCAAACGATTCGGAGGCCATTGCTTGTCCTATGCGCACACATCTACTTGGTTGAACGAGATCCGATCTGACCTACTTGATCTGATGATTTCGCTTGATCCCTTAACGTTCTCTTTTATATTGTCTCTACTCCTATAATCATCGCCTCTTCTCCCCTCTTTTCACCCTTATCCCGCTCAAACCATCGTCACCCTCAAACCCGCAAGACTTGGCTTTTTCGATTTGGCCATACCATTTAGTGAGTACCATAGACATGTCACTATCCCTATTGTGGACGGGATTGTGAGACTAGTCACTTTGTTCTTGGTGTTGTTGGTGTGCTACATTGTACCATATCACAATTACATAGTTATAGAACTTGTCAGTAAGAGCACAAGTGTATAAATAAATAAGTAATCCCATAACTTCTGGCTATCAGTCAAGTCTTCTCCGTCGTCAGGGCTGCAGACGATTGCTGCACGGAAGAACAGCTACTACGGTAAGTCACACGAACCGCTCGCGCACTTCCGCCTGTTGGCCGCCAAACGAAAAGCAATCATCGCCATCCACAAGTTTGACCATCAACGCCATTCACCCTTTCCACCGTGTCCCCCTTTCGACAATGACATCCATTGCAGAGGGCCTTTTTAAGTCATTACCAAAGCCGAAATATACCGGCGAGGATGAGGAGGTGCCTCAACATGCCCAACCCCGTGGTCCGCGGATCGTGGGCGCCGACCAGATTGATCAGACTCAGATTGTTTTGAGGGTGGGTTAATCCGTCTCTACGCTTCAGAATTTTTTTCATTTTACTCGTGTGCTGACTATCTTGGTTTACGATGTATAGAGAACCGGTCCTCCCCCATATGGCAACCGTGCAGGATGGCGACCTCGAGCACCTGAGGATTTCGGCGACGGTGGCGCGTTCCCCGAGATCCTGGTCGCACAGTATCCCCTCGACATGGGCCGCAAGGGTACTGCGTCGACATCGAACGCGCTCGCTGTGCAGGTTGACGCGGAGGGAAAAGTCAAGTACGACGCGATCGCCCGCCGGGGCCACAGCGAGAACCGGATCGTCCATGCTTCCTTCAAGGATCTGATTCCGCTCCGACAGCGGGTGGATATGGGAGAGATCTCGCTTGACCGTCCCTCGGAGGAAGAGGTGGAGGCGCAGATGGAGAAGACCAAGAATGCGCTGGCCAGCCTGGTCGAGGGTGCTGTGGCGGCGCAGAAGCCGAAGAACGTCAAGGGTGGTCGGAGAGCAGAGCCTACGTTTGTCCGGTACACGCCTGCCAACCAGATGGGAGATACTACGCGGAAGAACGATCGGATCATGAAGATCGTCGAGAGACAGCAGGATCCCATGGAGCCGCCCAAGTTCAAGCACAAGAAGATCCCCCGCGGCCCGCCCTCGCCACCTCCGCCCGTTATGCATTCTCCGCCTCGAAAGCTGACGGCAGAAGACCAGGAGGCCTGGCGGATTCCACCTCCCGTGTCGAACTGGAAAAATCCCAAGGGTTACACCGTCCCGCTGGACAAGCGTCTCGCTGCGGACGGACGGGGACTACAGGATGTTACGATCAACGACAAGTTCGCTCAGTTCGCCGAGGCCCTGTTCACTGCCGACCGACACGCCCGTGAGGAGGTGCGACTGCGCGCACAGATGCAGCAGAAGCTTGCGGAGAAGGAGAAGGCCCAGAAGGAGGAGCATCTCCGCGCTCTGGCGCAGAAGGCCCGTGAGGAGCGAGCCGCAAGCAGCCGTCGCGATTCTCGTGCGCGCTCACACACGCGCAGTGTCAGCCGCAGTCCATCTGCTTACTCTCGGTCTGCCACGCCCAGCGATGACGAGGAAGCGGCTCGGGAGCGTGAGCGCATTCGTCGCGAGCGCCGCCAGGACGCCGAGCGACAGCTGCGCCAGTCTCGCATGGGCACGGAACGACGAATCCAGATGATGGCCCGTGAGCAGAACCGTGACATCTCGGAGAAGGTCGCGCTCGGGTTGGCCAAGCCCACCCAGGCATCCGAGTCCATGTGGGACTCTCGGCTCTTTAACCAGACAAGTGGCATGCAGTCCGGGTTCAACGAGGATAATCCCTACGATAAGCCGTTGTTTGCCGCGCAGGACGCGATCAACAGCATTTACCGGCCTCGGGCTCAGCTGGATGTGGACGACGAGGAGGGAGCTGAAGGGGAGATGAGTAAGATTCAGAAAACCAATCGCTTTGAAGTTCTGGGCAAGGCCAAAGAAGGTTTCAAAGGCGCAGCTGAGGCTGAGGTGAGATTCCCTATCCCTTTTTCCTTTTACCTTCTCATAGAAAAACTTTTCGGATTATCACCGGGTAATCAAACAACTCAGCTGACTTTATCCTTCCTCGCAGACCCGTGACGGCCCCGTTCAGTTTGAGAAAGACACAACAGACCCCTTTGGTATTGACAGCATGATCGCCGACGTAACCGGGGGAGCCGGACAGAAGCGCTACGGGATCCAGGAAGTCGAGCGTGAGGATCGGGGGTCGAAGCGCGCAAGAGTCGATGATGATTAAAGCGTGTCCGCGTATTCGTACATCTCTTTTCCCGGGATCATGTGTCGTGTATTCTGACTTCCACTTATTCGGGGATGGTTCATGCATTGCGGGCGTTTGCAGTCTTTGTCCTTACGTTGTATCTACGAAATGGGAACCATATTTACTTTGAAAGGCTATCATTTGATTGGGGGGTATCACTTTGTGGTTGCAGTTAGAAGGCAAGGAGAGACGATCGAAGCATGGGGTAATCCTGTTCCTATCAACACTCTGAATCTAATTAAAGAAGGACGGACTCCAAAAAAGAGCTCGTGATACATCGGTTCCACGTTTGAGACTACTACGATGAACATATCTACGCCAAGTTGCAGAAATGCAAATGAGAGAATTTCCCGACACCCATTTCCCTTATCTCCGTGACGGTGCCGCGTTTCCCTATCTGCACGGCTACATCATCTCTCCAAAGGGGGCTGAAACTCACCATAGATGGCGCCACATTTGGAGGAGTATGGAGTAATGGAGTACAATCGCAAAGAGGGGATTCGCAAGATCGGTCGCTGGATAGCTAGATAGACAGTGTGATTCTTGCAGCGACTCAGCACCACCCACCTGGCACTCCTAGCAGCAACAGGGATGGACCGGATGATCGTCCATGAAGGATGGATGATTGGCCAGTCGCCGACCACACCAAAATATCATTGATGGGAGCGACAGGAAGACACCAGTTCGTAGGTTTAGGGAGGAATGATCATCCGACTCTGCAAGCCCGTGCGAACCTTGCACTTAGCTAGTTAGCTCAAATAGTAGGGAGTATGAAACAGCGATCGGATTAATGAATAAGACAGTGAGTGAGTGAGATTCTGATTGAAGCGCTTCAAGCGCAAAAGGTGCGGGAATTGGATTGGATTGGGAAATATGACAGTCCAGCTGCATCTGCATCGCGCATTGAGTTTTAGCGGATTGTGTCACTTCTGTGAGGATGAGCTTGAGTGAGGAGGTGTGTAGGCAGTAGGCAGTAGGCAGTTCAGGATGCATCTGGTTGCCGGCGTGCATTTTTTTCATGCAGTCTAAAGCATTAAGATGGCGCCATCATTGTGGCATCATTTCCTGATCGAGTTGGTTGATGTTGCTGATGGATCCCCTTTTCGTGATGAGGTTTTTTAGGAGACGTAGTACGGAGTAGCTAGTCTAGTAGATAGGAGGAATAAGTTTGACAGTTAGAGCACTGACTCCACCTTGTTCGAATGACTGTGTCACGGTGACCCTTTTGGTGATGGTCTCGCTAAATAGAACTACTTCGTATCTCCCAAGCTGTCGGAGCTTTTTCCCAACAGATAGAGCCCCCCAGTGGACCGAGTACTCGCGAGTTGCTTGTCGTCCATCACAGTACCTCCCAGAAGATTTTGGAAAATAGCGGAGGGGGACAAGCAGTTAGCCCATCTTCCTCCAGGCTCCATCCATTGGCTTGCCGCCACAATCCGCCGTATGCAGGATTGATGATGGATGTTTATGTATGCGCGAGAGACAGCAAATGGATTCATAGCAAGCAAGTGTGGTGCCTGACTAGCCACCTCACAAAAGTTACAAAACCCTGCAAATCGAGCAGAGAGGAAAGAGGAAAAATGCGGGGAGCGGATGAACAGGAAGACCAGCCATTCACCGTCAGCTGCTCCCTCGAACCGTGCGCTGGGGAGGGGTCATAACGCACTATTTTATTCTGACCTTATACTTTCTTACTATTATTTAGTTATTATCATCTCGGATTTAGTATTATCCCTATAGACTAGAAAGACCCCCACTGTAAAACTACGGAAGCAGCGCCTAGCGCGGGGTGGCGATGAAAGAAGATTTGCTGGTCAATCATAGTCATGGTCATGGTCATGGTCATGGTCATGGCTGATAATAATGGCTCTGATAAGCAGCGAGAGTGGAGCCACAAAAGCTGGAGATAAAGTCTGCCTTTTTGACCTAAACTACGTAGAGCCAACTTTGGACCAGTCACTGCTGAGAATCAAAGGGGATTTGCTAAAAAGGTTATAATTGAGGATAAAGGATCACTAGTTTAACGCTTTACTTTCAAAAACAATTATATTCATGCATTATCCCATTCCCGGTACGTATATCTACCTACTCGACAGTGGAGCTTCCAGCAGAAAAAGAATAAGATTTTCTTTGCTTTTTCCTCGTAACTACCTCCTCTGCTTCCCCATATTCTTCGGATCCATTTACCAGAAATCCAGATTCAACATTCTGTGCTCCGTCCAGTGCGAACGTCCAGTCAGTGTGGCAAGAATCAGTTGGTGTTGAAGCGAAAAGAAGAAGAACCTACTTACCCTCGCCCAAAAAGGAAGGCATCTTTTGAGTCACCACAACTGGAGCTACAACCATCCATCCACGCCCTTTTTCCTCTGTTCTTTATAACCTACATATCATCTAATCCCGCATTCGATCCTACACCCTTCTGCCAGTCTACATTTGAAATAACATCGTCAACATCGCAGCATTCTTGCGTGCTGGCTCTTCTTTGATTCTATCATTTCTCCGAACAATGGCGTAACTCCACTCCGCGGACCAGAACAATGAAGACGCAGGGCTTCGGGCCATCAAGAACATACAGGAGGAAAAAGAAACGACTAATCCATTGATGTGTGCAGCGCTTTGTTTCATGGAATCTGGTTTTACTCGCATCTCTATTTATACCCGTTTCTTTCATTATCATTCGCGTCCCAGTGACACTGTTGCCTATTGCCCTAACATCCACTGTACTGTCCACTGAGACAGCCTCATCTGTACAACTTCAATCTGGCCTTTCGATACCTACTTCCTTCTCTCTGTGGATCTTCTCCCAACTGTACCTGCGAGTCCGATTCCGCTACTTATACTTCAAATCACCCAAGGGTCTCACATTTAGAGTACCTCACTTTTCGTTTGGATCCAGCTTGTGGAAGACCGAGCATCGAGTCCCACGAAACAGCCTATTGATATCATTTGTTGTCTGATCGAGAGCAATGATGGATCATTCGCTGTCTCTCATCTCGGCTCACGTCCAATTTATGGTAAGCCTCCATCTTGCTGTTCATCAATCATGCTGTCCATCTCCCGTCAAAGATGATTCGTATAGATTATTGTTGTGCAAGGCTTGTTGTACTAACCACAACCATCGAGGCACAGGACGACCGACTGGCTTTGGTGCATATACCATTGGATCTCTACCCGTATTTCTTGACTCCGATCCTACAGGTCCTCTTCCACGAGGTACCCCGGTTGACCAGAGTCATCTGGAGGTCTTGAAGAACGGCTCCAGAGATGGCCTCAAGCATGCGCAACCTGCCTTCTTGAATTTCTCTGTCACCCCGGTAGAATGCTCCATCATGTGCCCTAGGCAGCTTGCCAACAAGTATTTCGCACCCATGATCGATAACTTCGTTCAAAATCATGCCTCTACCCAGAGCCGCCTGTCCATCAGTCAGGACGATTTCATAGCCATGCAGGTGTACGGCGAGGGTCTGGAAGCCGGCCAACGCGTGCTTGAGTTGACGAGTCCTCTAGCGATGGCAGGAATGTATGAACTTCCCCGAACCCTGTTCCGCTTATATGACGATTGCTGACTTTTACTCTCACAGTTCTATCTTCTTTATCTCCACTTACTTTTCCGACTACATCATTGTGCCTCTGCGCAGTAAAGCACAGGTCATTGAAGCGTTGGAGAAGCGAGGGTTTCAGTTCGAGATCACCACCGAGGCTTTCATAAATCACAATCAAAGTCAGTACAACAGCTATAGCAGTCCGGTTTCATCTCGTTCCGCGAGTAGTCTTGGTTCTCCGCCGGCAACTCCTCCTCCCTCGTCACTCGACGAACTGCAGGGACGAACCTTTGCCTCCCTGCGGAAGAACCAAATTGTGCCGTCCGTCGATCGATCTCTTCGCTTGGTGCAATGTGCGGCCCATCACCCATACAGCAGTGATGCTAGCTCAATATCAATCCTCCGCACGGCACTGACGACTGCACTGGTTGTGGACAGACCACGCTTCCTCTCACTCACTCTGACAGCTGCCGACCCTGCAGCCTCTCTCTTGTTGGAGCAGCGGCTCCTGCCTCGATTCTTGAATGATGGTACCTCGTCTGCCGAACCTGCTGATGAGACAAGCCTGCTTCTGGGGTCCAAGGAAGACATCCTTGTCCCTATCACGTTGGATCTACGCAAACTCCCTCTCGAGGCCACCGGTATTGTTTGCGGCGTTGCCAGTCGATTGGCTGACGCTACACATGCCGCCTGGGATGAAAGCACCGAAGCATCGACCATTGCTTTGCCGCACTCTTTTAACGGTGCCTCCTCCTTTGAAAGCTCTCTCAATCGCTACTTCTCGTCCAGTGTGGACTCTGGGGGACCAGTCAGGCCCCCTGCTCAGAATCCTGCGCACCGAACACCCAATGGCGATCCGTTAACACTCTCAACTCATCATCTGCAGCCAGACCTCGACACGTCTCTGGAGGCCGTCGAGATCAGCTTCCTTAGCACTGCACGTGCAGGGACAATCCTTGTCGGTGAACACGAACTGCGTCGAGCTATGGATGCGCTCGAGGCCGAAAGCCATGAACCGGACCTGCCGGCTGGTGTGCTCGAAGTGTGAACCGTGCTTTAGTTCGAAATCCACGTCGCCATCTTCAGTCATTCTTGTGGTCTATGGCCTTCGAAGAACATAATTGCTCGGCGAAACCTAAAAAAAAAAACTTACGACAGCTGCACGACTAAAAAAGGGATATCCTCAACGCGTTGACTTTTGGTCTGATCAACTGCAAAACAGCAAATCGGCGTTTCGGGACTGTTAGCTCAAAAAGAACTCTGGTGTTCATCAAAGTTTGTTAAAATCATGTTACCCTTGTCAGATGGGGGTCACAGTGCATCTTGGTTTGGATCTTGTTTTGGCACGAGAATGCCTGATTACTGTATAACATCAAACTCACCTGCAAAAAAAAACTCTACTCAGAAAATACCCACGGTGGAATTGATGACATTGTATGGAGGATGTGCAGATGGACGAAGGCTATTTTCTTTCTTTCCCTGTCCGACTAAGGTACAGGCCCTACTAATGCATAATGCAAAGTGAAATGAAACAAATACCATCCAGTAGGCGAGCGGTACCTCAGATATTGCAAGATCCACTCTAACTCGAAACGTATGATATGGTGCCAGATGGCTTCAGCAAACAATCGGCACGAGGTGCAGCAGTATCAGTGACGTCTCAGCGTCTTTCGCACCCCAAGTCCAGTTTGAAATTCCGCGGTAGCCATTTTGTCTCAGGGTAGACAAACAAAGGTCCGCAACTTGAAACTCGACCGGCGTCGGGGACTGACACGTCACCATGCAGCCTCGTTATTGGCTCATTTGCTGTGTATGCAGCACGGCGCATGGTCGAGACCTACCGGACCACACTCGTGGATCAATAGCCGTGATCCGAAGAGAGATTCCCCTTGCGACGGCTGACGAGAGGCATGCCGATGCCGATATGCAGAATGCGCTATGCACTATGCAGCGATATGTGCCAGCGGGTCAGTAGTCCAACAGCAGCTGGCCAGGTTGACAGGACCATGTAGCTCGGGTTGCAATGTGGACGTTGAGCTGAGGGCTGATTGCGTGCGCGACAGAGGTTGCAAGATTACGGTGTTTGACTGCCTGGTCCGAAAGGGGTTTGTATTGCATGAAGTTCTGGGCGTTTCTGTGCGCGGGGATGGACTGCCGGTTGACCTTGCAGCTGGCCCTGTTGATTTGCTTGGTGTGCGGCCAGCGTTTGAAGCTGGTGCTCTTGGGGAATGGCTTCGGTGGATCAGTAAATTCGGATGGCAGGACATTGAAGGCTTTTTTCGTTCAGGATACACGCGGGGAAGAGGGGGGAAACTGGCCAAGCTGCTGTCCATGTTACACAGAGCTACTGGTTGGCAGCAGCGACCTGGATCTCTCATCGTTCAGCCGTAGATTTTGACAGTGCCTGCAAAGAACCATTATTAGCAGACTATACATACAAGCACAAAGGTGGACATGTTTTGACATACCATCGGAACAGCCCCCAGCCCAGCAACCTCCTTTCTCATTCCACGCTACGCAGCTAACAACTTTCACTCCATTCCCCCCGGGACTGTCGCAATAACCTCTCCACTGAGCACATCCCAAGCGAAGACATGAGCCTGTGGCGACGGATCGCCTTCCGTCGACTCACTCCCACTGAGAACGACGGCGTCTCCCTTGGCAAAGACGGACCGAATCCTAAGCTCGCTATTGCGGTACGCCGCGCTCGCACCGGTAGTGCTTTGCTCAAGACCCTCCTCGCCCCCAAAAGCCTTGAGCAGCTTGCCGTCTGCCCGGTCCAGCATCCGGATCCGGCTGTCGAGTGTAGAAACCAGCAAGGCATTGCCGTCCGCAGAGCACCGGACGCTTGTCACGGGGTGAGCAAGGACGTCAACAGTTGTCCGGCCCATGCGCACATCGTAGATGCGAGCGCGGCCATCGTAGCTTCCACTTGCGATAGAATACGTCGGCATGTGTACGTGTAGCGAGGAAACGGTATCGCCGGCCTCGGTGAGGGTCTGGATAGGCTTGTGCGATTTGGACCGGGTGTCCCACAGATTAATGGTTGTGTCTGCGCTGCCTGAGAGAAAGGTCAGAATCGCGGGTGCTTCTACTACCGAATAGACAGGAAAGACCGAAGACGGGTTCTTACCAGATACCACCACGGAATCGCCCTCGCCAGCGAACTGTACGGCCTCGACCCTAGCGTTATGTCCGGCCCATCGCCGTGTAGTCATTCCTTGTTCGACGTCCCACAAAAATACCTGGCGGTCTCCGCCGACACTTGTAAATCGCGCATTGTCTGCTGCGACAGCCACGTCCAGGACTGAGTACCCGTGCGCCTCATATTTTTGGATCGGGGAAGTCGTCTCGTGACCAGTAGTAGAGCTGTTGTTCGGGATGGCGCGCGAGAGGTGAATGGCGCGATCAGCGGAACCGGTGAGGACATATGTGCCTGGATAGCTAGAGAAAGTCACAGCATTTACCGGTCCTGAAACTGTTTAGTTGATGGAGAGCGTGGCTAGGGGATTGAGCAGAAGCTCACCATTGTGCGTTTTGAGAGTATGAACAAGCTTCGTGGGAAATTGTTTTGTTGCCGGCATTGATGGCTTAGTTTTTTCAGCGTAAGATAGGGATAAAGGGCAACGAAGAGGTAGGTCTTAGGTGACGAAGGTTCTCGCCTTGAAGAATTGCGGAGATGAGGCTTTGTTATTTCCGCCGAAGAGAGCTATGTCACCTCGAACCGACCCGCTCATGCTTGAAGAAAGCCCCACCAGATAAAGCTTCCTATATAATAGCTCTAAGGTATAACCAAACCATGGACAAAGACTACTTCTGTATTGACACGCTACTAAAATACAAATGGGTTATTATCAAGGATGTAACGAGATCATCGCTAGCTACCAGCGGCTAAAGAAATGATACAGCATAATAAATGCACCAGTGGAAGATAGCGCATCAAACGGCCTAGATCAAATATGTTTGTCCCCCGAATGCTGAGAAAAAAAAAATAGGCCGAAAATAAACTCGAGGGGTAATCAAGAATAGACAATATTAATCAAATTGAAGCAGTTTTCCTTTTTCCACCGCGCGCTCAAAATTCGTCGCCGTACCCAAGGTGCCCCAGAGCAATTTAACGGCGTCCGTGACTCCGGGTGGTAGAGCCCTGCAGCGCCTCGATTTCTTGCTCGAGCGCTTTGATTCTGTATTCAGTCAGTACTGTCTCCATACTTCCTTAGAGAACAAGAATTGCAAGAAGAGGTGCACATACGCAGCGTGAGTGGCCTCCAGGTCCTTGTTGAGGCGGTCTCTCTCGGAAATGAGCTTCTGCTCCCACTGGCGGAATCGCTGTTCTTCGACCTTGACCTGCTCGGTGAAACGCTTCCGCAGAGCCTCCTCCTCTTCCTTGAACTTGGGGTTGTCCAGCTTTCTCGGTCTGGCCTCGCCGAACTTTCTTGTTTCCATCTGCTGTGCGCGGTAGGCTTCGTAGTGCTGCTCCTCGGTGGTATGGATGAGATCAAGCATGTGAGTGCGGATCAGGATAGAGCGCAGCTTCTTGAAGTCACAGTGGTCCTCGTTCTCAACTTCAGCAACACCCCAGGCATATTGGCGACCCTTTACTACCCGGTTGTCGTTGGTCTTCACATCTTTCTCGGATCCAATCACAGCGAAGGGCATAGCAGCCATCAGACTGCGAGCGTGGGCGGCAGCGTGCTCGTCGTCCTCTTCGATAGGAGGGGTGTAGATCTTGATGCCTTGAGCTTCGACAACAGCTTTGACCTAAAATAGGTTGGACTAGTCAGTATCTACCAGTAAGGGAGGCCGTTCATCCGGAAGTCTCACTCTCTGCTTGAAACGGGCAAGATCAGTAGGGCTAAGAGTGTCGGCCTTGGCAATAACGGGAATAAGGTTGACTCGAGAGCTCAACCGCTTCATGACCTCGATATCAAGAGGCTTCAAAGTGTGGCCCGTGGGTCTGATGAAGTATAAGCAGGCGTGAACACGCATATCGATCTTGTCTGTGCGGCGGGGTTGCTGCTCCTGAAGCATGTACGATTCGTGCTGGTCATCAAGGAACTCGATAATTGGCTGCCAGGAGTCACGGTTGTTCACATAGTCGCCGAAGCCGGGGGTATCAATGACGGTCAGACGGACTGTACATGGCCGCATCGTTACATTAGTAACCATTCGCGAAGATGAGGGAATCAGAAATCAACCTTTGAAGAACTTCTCCTCTAGCTCTGCCTTGGTAATCTCAATCTCAACCGTCCGGTCGATCTGCTTCTGATGGCGACGCTTGTGATCGGCATAGTTCTTGATAGTGGTCGAAAACAGGGTGTTGATAAACGTGGTCTTTCCCAATCCCGATTCTCCAGCAACCTATAGTCCGGCATCAGCAGACAGCTTCATCTTGGCTGACAGGCTCGAGACAGACCATGATAGTGAAAGCCGCACCCCGCTTAGCGACAATCTTGTGTCTGTATAGCTTCAGTTAGACTTATCCAGGCTTCATTCTTTGGCTGATCGAAGCTGCGTGACAATTGGTACACACCGCTGATTAGGGAGCTGTTGACATAAAGAACTAGTTAAAATCTCTTCTTCCATTCAAATCCTCCCCAAAGTATTGATTTAGCACTTACATTGGCAATGCCAATAGGAGAAGCAGTTTCCGAAGTCGTGGCCATGATGATAAAGGGGAAGGTAGGTGGAGGTGAAATCGGGCAAGACGACAACTGATTGATTGAAATTGATAACAACTGTTGCGAATCAGAAGTCAATTGATTAAGACGACCTAAAGAATGAGGAAAAATGCCGTCGAAAAGGGACTGTCTCTCTCTCCTGTCTCAGCAGTAGTAGTAGAACGTTCTCCCTGGTATGGATCGGTCTGGTATGGTTTGGAATTGGCTGTTGCTGCCCCTGAATCACAGACCCGGTGGAGAAGCAAACACCAGCAAACAAGCAAACGTGACCTTTGGGCCCCGGATAGCGCTAGTACTAATTCGAGCAAGCGTCTTCGGCCTCGGATTAACAAATGATCAGCTCTCTTATCGCCCGTTTAGGAAGACGATTTTTTTGAAGATCGACTCCAGGTGAAGATTGAGAAGCTACGCACGCTTATCAGAGACAATGAAGACAGATTTCAAGGTGAGCTTCTTTATTTTCCTCCTTGCGACCGCAGTTCTGACTCAATCGCAGTTCTCTAACCTTCTGGGGACGGTATATCGCAAAGGAAATCTTCTCTTCACGCCCGATGGAAACTGCTTGCTTTCCCCAGTAGGCAATAAGGTCACAGTTTTCGACCTTGTCCAGTATGTTCGGTCTCTTACATGCTATGCGATACTCGTCGGATCTTTTGAGCTGACTGAATGGCGCTGCTGAAGGAACACATCATACACACTTCCTTTCTCTCATCGCACCAATATCGATCGTTTAGATCTTTCGCCCCGCGGCAACCTTCTGCTCTCCGTTGACGAGAATGGTCGTGCTATCTTGACGAATTTCGTTCGTAAGATCGTTATCCACCATTTCTCCTTTAAAGGTCGGGTCACTGCGCTCAAATTCTCGTCAACGGGTCGTCATTTCGCTGTCGGAGTGGGAAGACGGTTGCAGATCTGGCACACACCATCGACCCCGGGTACCGATAATAACGGAGAGATCGAATTTGCACCCTTTGTTCTGCACCGAGACCTCGCCGCCCATTTCGATGTCATTCAGAATATTGAGTGGTCCAGAGACTCACGCTTCCTCCTTACCGCATCCAAAGACCTCACAGCACGGATATGGAGTTTAGATCCGGAAGAAGGCTTCGAACCCACCACCCTGGCCGGCCACCGTCAAGGCGTGAAGGCAGCCTATTTCACAGCGGATCAAGAATCCGTAAGTCTGGACGAAATATTTAGATGATTCCCTTGCTGACACCATCCAAGATCTACACAATCAGTTCGGATGGAGCTCTTTTCAGGTGGGAGTACGTGGCTAAGAAAGATCCGGATACGATGGAAGATATTGCCGAAGCTCGTTGGCGGATTGTCAAAAAGGACTACTTCATGCAGAACGATGCCAAGGTCAACTGTGCTACTTTTCACGCCCCCTCGAATCTCTTGGTTGTAGGTTTCTCCAACGGCCTTTTCGGCTTGTACGATCTGCCGGACTTCAACCCTATCCATCAACTGAGGTATGACTCTTGTTACCTGATAGTGAACTGTGAGGCTGACTAGTTTTAGTGTTTCTCAGAGTAACATCGACTTCGTGACAGTCAACAAGTCCGGTGAGTGGTTGGCCTTTGGCTCGTCGAAGCATGGTCAATTGCTCGTGTGGGAATGGCAATCGGAGTCCTATATCTTGAAGCAGCAGGGTCACTTGGACTCGATGAACACGCTTGCCTACTCCCCAGATGGACAAAAGATCGTTACTGCCGCGGATGATGGAAAAGTAAAGGTCTGGGATGTCAAGTCCGGCTTTTGCATTGTCACATTCACCGAGCATTCAAGCGGAGTCACTGCGTGCCAGTTTGCCAAGAAAGGGAGTGTTTTATTTACCGCATCTCTGGATGGCTCAGTGAGGGCATGGGATCTCATTCGTTATCGCAACTTCCGAACCTTCACTGCACCATCCCGGACGTCTTTCACCTCTCTTGCCGTCGACCCAAGTGGTGAGGTCATTTGTGCCGGGTCACCGGATTCTTTCGATATCCATGTGTGGTCAGTACAGACAGGACAACTTCTTGACCAATTGTCCGGTCACGAAGGGCCCGTATCGTCTCTCGCGTTCGCTGCGGACGGCAACCATCTAGTTAGCGGTAGCTGGGACCGTACTGTCCGAGTATGGAGCATTTTCGGAAGGACGCAGACTAGCGAACCCTTGCAGCTCATGTCAGATATTCTGGATGTGGCATTCCGGCCTGACGGGAAGCAGGTTGCCGCATCTACTCTTGACGGTCAGTTGACCTTTTGGTCTGTGGACAACGCAGTCCAGGAAGGAGGCATTGATGGTCGTCGCGATGTGTCCGGCGGCCGCAAGATGGGCGATCGGGTGACGGCCGCGAACTCAGCGGCAACCAAACATTTCAATTGCATCACATACAGTGCTGACGGCTCTTGTATCCTGGCTGGAGGCAACAGCAAGCACATTTGCCTGTACGATGTGAGATCGGGCGCATTGCTGAAGAAATACACTGTCAGTGTCAACACTTCTCTAGACGGCACTCAGGAATTCTTGAACAGTCGTGATTTGACAGAGGCTGGCCCTCGAGGACTCATTGACGAGACAGGCGAAGCCTCAGATCTGGAAGATCGCATTGACCGCAGCCTTCCTGGCGCGAAGCGCGGCGATGCTGGGACGCGTAAGACTCGACCCGAAGTGCGTGTCACTGCAGTCGACTTCTCCCCAACCGGGCGCGCATTTTGTGCAGCTTCGACGGAAGGTCTTCTAGTCTACAGTCTCGACACTGAATTTGTCTTCGATCCGTTTGACCTTGATATCGACATCACTCCCACCACTATCCTTGCCACCCTTGACGCTGCCAAGAAGGCGCACTCGATGAACACAGCAGACGATGACAATACTTTCTTGAAAGCGCTGGTCATGGCTTTCCGTCTTAACGAGTCGAAACTGATTCGCGCTGTCTATGAGGCTATTCCACCCTCGGAGATTTCTCTTGTCGTACGCGCACTGCCCACTGTCTACCTTTCTCGCTTCCTGCGGTTCGTAGCCCAGGCTGCTGAAGAAACGCCTCACCTGGAGTTCAACTTGCGGTGGATTGAATCTCTCCTGAGCATCCATGGTCGCTACTTCAAGGATAACTCAGGCACGCTCGCGACAGAACTGCGTGCCATACAGCGGGCTGTTGATGACATTCGGGAGAACTTGAGGAAGTTGACGGAGAAGAATGTGTACGATCTCAATTATCTCCTCTCGAAACCGGTACTTGCAGATAAAATGAATGGCGCTCCGAAAGCTATTCAAGACTATGATGCTATAATCATGGACGGCGAGGATGAGGGCATGTCTGATGCAGATGGGGATGATAAGGAGGGGGAATGGGTTGGCCTTGAATGATCTCACTCACTTCGTCTTGTACCTATATACACATCATTTGCCCTTCCTCTTGCATTCCTCATCTTCTCTTCTTGCATCTGCGTCTGGCGTTCGATTGTTTTGATATACCTGGAAAAGGGAGCAAGTAAAAGTCCTGGAGTCTTTTGTATAGCCTGTTGTTCCTTGGATAGCATGTGCTAATAGCATATCCGTTCAAATAGACTATTGATGATCTAGCAAGCTCGTCCTTGGACATTTGTCTTCCACAACGTTCTCATTCAATAGCACCATAGCGGAAGGTAATGAGCCGACTCTCACTTATGCTCGCTGTTAGGCGGATATCTCCGTTAGGGACTTCACATAACGAAATATGCCGTCTGGTAACTGCATATCTAACACAAAATTCACTGCTCTGGAGATATCGAGCATTCTAGTTCCTTTCATTAGCGGCTCTCTCCGTGGCTGATCGTTTGCTCATTCACTCTGCCTCGCTTGCTGCACACATAGAAATACTCTTCCCTATCGATGCATCTCGCGAGCTTCTCTCTTCTTTACCTCCTTCACCCTACGCCACTACTCTGCTCATATACCCCCATAGCGCTTCATCATATCAATCGATCACTGAATGAAACATCATTAGCACAGCTTCGCACTGTCAGGTTGTCAAGTTGTCAGTCATGGCTGACCAGGTGCTCGAACTGCCATGTTGGCCATTTGCCCTACTACTCTCCTCGTCTCTCTATTTCTATCATTACCCACCAGGCGAGGCCTCAGCCGAAATTCCCACCGTCAGATTCAGTCGCTTCCTTCCAGACTTCATTAACCGGCTCATGTTCATTTTCGTGGCGCCTTACCTGATCAAGTACGGTTATGAGAAGGTACTTACCTGTCTTTCCGCTCATATCCGTCATTCTCAAGCTGACCATCCTTGCAGTACAGAGATCAGCCCTACCGTGTCCTCAAGGCCGATGGCGACTTGCTTGTTTTGCCTCCAAAGTACCTTCCGGAGATTCGTCACTTGCCTCCTTCCAAACTCAGCGGCGTCGACGCGCAATTCGAGGTATGTTGCCGGCTTCCTGACTTTATGAGGTAAGAATGAACTGACGCCTCCCAATAGAACATCCTTGGCAAATACACCAATGTTCTTATTGATAGCCATTTGCCTGTGAAGACGGTTCACAAGGGTCTGACTCCAGCTATCGGTAAGTACATGCTTTGTGTACATCTGCTTGAGTGTCTAAGGCTGACGAAAGACAACTTCAAGGCCGAGTTCTTCCTCGTCTCCTCGATGAACTTCAGTTCGCATTCCAGGTTGAAGTGCCTGACTGTGATGGTATGTCCATCTCAATCCTCATAAGCTAAGTAAGCACCAGACTGACCACCGCTATAGATCGCTGGATCCCGGTCAACCTCTATGACATGATCCTGGGCCTTGTCACTCGGGCTACATCTCGCGTCATTGTTGGAGAGAACATCTGCCGTAACCCACAGTGGCTGGAAACAGTCACCAGCTACACGGTCAATCTCGGGGTCACTGTTATTTTGCTCCGTCCGTTCCCCAACTTCATGCGTCCATTGGTTGCCAAGGTGCTTCCCAGCGTCAAGAAACTCCGCACTCAGCTGCGCTTCGTTCAGAAAGAGCTTTTCATCCCGATGATCTTGGCACGTCGCGATGCAGAGATGAATGATCCTGCATATCAGAAGCCGGACGATTTTCTTCAGTGGATGATGGACCTTGCAGAGGATGACTTCGACAAGGATCCCGCGAATATCTCTCAGATGTTGCTTATTGTGATGGCTTTGGCCGTTGTCCACACGAGCTCGATGCTGATGACCCATGCTATCTACGATCTTATGATTCGACCCGAGTACATTGAGCCTCTTAGGGAGGAGATCCGCGAGACTCTGAAAGACGGATGGGACAAGGTGACTCAGGCTTCCTTCGCCTCTCAGCGTCGCCTGGACAGCTTTATGAGAGAATCACAGCGTTTCAACCCCACTGGAGAACGTGAGTACATCCCTTTTGATGTGCAATGTTATGCTCGTTATGCTAACAATTGCCCCTGTCAGTGTCTACTCACCGCATGGTTATGGAGAAGATGGTCCTTTCTGATGGCCTGGTCCTCGCGAAAGGCACGCATATCTGCTTCCCTTCAAAGCCCATGGGTATGGATGACTCCATTGTTGGGGATGCTCTTACCTTCAAAGGTTTCCGTTGGTGCGAAGATCCCGAAGCAAGAAGCACAAGCCTTGTCAGCATCAGCCCGTCCAACATGCATTTCGGTTACGGTAGACAAGCCTGCCCTGGCCGTTTCTTCGCTGCGAACACGAACAAGGCGATCTTGAGTCGCTTGATTGCAGACTACGAGTTCAAATTCGAGGACGATAACAACAATAAAAGACCGAGGAACCTCACTCTGGGGGAGCAGATTATGCCCAACATGCACACCAAGGTTCTCCTCAAGAAGAGAGACATCGTTTAAGAGGAGAGACTGGAGTGATTCAAGAGGTTTTGGGTTTTGTCTTGGACGTATGGTTTTGTGAAGGAGTTTTCGAGGAAGGATAGATGGTCAGACTGGATATTGCTTTTGATTTTTGAATCTTGAATCTCCACTCATTTATTGGCGCCTATGTGAACTAGCATCTCCATTATTTGTTTATTTCCATGCTACCTAGTGCAGACGAAGAGAATACAAATGAAACATTTGATTATCTCAACTATCCAATCCAGTATATCAGATCTCCCTATCTGAAGGTATATGTTTGAAATGACTAAAAGATAGCCACCGCATTAGGAGGACTGGCTACGCCCCCAGGAACCTGTTCATATACAGCGATCTCGTCAGTACAACCCACTCACCCAATATTCAAAAGCACAGCATAACAACCCGACTCACCTTCAACGGCACACTCGACAGGAAGAAACTCCACCGATTCATCTTTGCACAATACTCCGCCACTCCCTCGAGATCAAAATACTCCCCAATAGGCATCCCCCAGCCAGCCAGCAACCACTGGTGCAACTGAAACTCCGGGGGACCTTGAGGGCCCGCTATGGGCGAAGGCTCGAAGCTAGGCGAGTCACTCGCTACGGCAGCGAACTGATTCTCCCACAGCCAGCGGAGAGTAGCCTCTCCGGCCTCGAGACCTGCAAATTGAGGCGTTTCACGCTGAGAAATGGCCAGCTCTTCGTCCGCGGAGAGCTTGTCGTAGGCGGCTGTGAAGCCTGTGCGGAGGAAGAGGATATCGCCGGAGCGGAATCGGATGTTGTTCTCTTCGACGATCTGCTTGATTGCAGAGAGGGGGATCTTGGTTGCGGTGAAGGGCTGAGGGGGTCGAGTTCTTCGTTGCCCACGAGGCGTAGTCGATTAGCACGCCTCTGCCGACGATCCCTCCGTGCTTGACCCATGCTAGAGCTGTTAGTGGGAAGTGTGTCGGATTGTATAAGGCAGACTTACCGTCAATCCCGATGACAGGGGAGATTTTCAAGTCCTCCAGTGAATGCCCGTTAAAGTAGCACTTATGTGTATGGTTCCCTACCGTGAAGTGCGTCTGTCAGCCTGTCAGCGTACTGGTCGTCAGGCACAAGCTTACCATAATGCCTAAATCCATCCCACTGCGTACTACACTGCGTATTGAAAACAAGGATATCGTCATTCACAATTCGTGGCGCCTTGTTCACCAACTCTCGCGCAAATTGCTTGCGCCCGAAACTGGGGTTCTTGATTCGGTCGAGTGGGAGATCAAGCGAGAATCGTACGCCGTCTCGGATCTCCTCTGCTGCTGCTCTGCGCACTGTTTCGGGAGTGAGCAGGTTCAGCATCCCCAGCTCGTTGTGCTTGCCAAATAGACCCCATGCGTTCCCTGGTGGCCCTGAGGGGTCGATGGTGAGGTTGTCGAAGGTGGGGAGAGTGGTTACAGATGCCATGCCTCTATACTTTTCTGGAATACGACACAGATGATTATAGAAAAGAGTCAGTTCAGCTGAGTGAAGAAAAAGACTACTACGTACTGCAATAATAGACAATGCGCCATCTTGCATATCTCCCCGCAGCGAGCTACCCCAAAGATACTCCAATATCCGGTTGGTCGATCGTCCCAACTAAGAGTGCGGATATTTCTCCACTTCCAGAGCGCGAATTAGTGTGGGTGGGGGATATGCTTAACAGATGATAACCTCTCAGACTTAACTACGGAAGAGGATAATGTTGGTTCACATTTGACTATGGTACAGAGGACCGCTCTCCATAGTAAACTTATCTATGGCCATCTATGTCTTATGCCACAAAGCCAGTCAATTGACAGACAAGTTACCGTCAACACCCAACCATGCCATAACCGAGATATGATACCCTGTTAGAAGTCCAACTGGAGCACCATAACACATCGTTTACTCAGTGTTTACAATAGCTGCACCCCTTCCTCGGTGACCACCCCTTCCTCTGGACCCGCTTCCTCTATCCGACCCGCGGGAACCGCCGCGGCCCCACGTCCACTGCCACGATTCAATGCCTTGGGAGGCGGCACCTGGGAGTAATTCTGAGGCCGGAAGTGAGGGTTGTTCCTGATCACACCTGCCTCGGGGTTGCTGTTATCCACGGATACATACCCCGCACGAGTACGGTACATGCCTCCACGACCCCTGCCGCCGCGTTGTTCAGTGCCGTCACCGCTGCTGGGGTGGGGCGGAACGGTAAAGTAGTCTGCGGCGATCCTCCGTTCGCGGCACCGCGACCTCCACGTCCTCTATGAGGAGCACCATTTCCTCGTGCATTACCCAAGCCCGAGACAGCGCCACGGTATGAGTTGGTCAATGGAGGAGGAGCCGCAGCCTCCTTCAGCTGGCCCAGCGCATTAGGACCAAGCGGAGCACCGTATCCTGCCACAGTCAAAGGCGAAGGTTGGGTATGTGCCTGTTGACTAGCAGCAGCCCGTGTGCTGGCGAGTAATTGACGATAGGAAACATTGAGAACGGACGATGCCAAGACAGTTTGACCGCGGAATGGCGAGCAGCGGTCTCCCAGAGTGGTTCCGCTCATGAAGGAAACATCGAAGACAACGTCAAGCAACATGGCTCGGGGCGTCCGAGTGAGGCCGACAACTGTTCCTCGAGTGGCAATGGGCACCTTACCAGAATCTTGAGCATAGACCACACGATCTCCAAGCTTGAAACTTTGATTCTGCAAACGCTGTTCGACATCCGAAGGCCGCAGAAGCGCGCTTCGGGGGACACCTCTGATCTTCTTAGGCTGCATCGGGGGTTGACTCTGCACAAGTTGATCCGCGTCCTGTTCAATCAACTTCACAACATCAGAATCCAACTGCTCAGCCTCAAGAGGAACCCTCTCGAAATTTTTGGCTTCCATCGCTTTGAGCCAATCTCTGATTTCCTTCATCTTCACAAGTGCAACATCCTCCGGGTAGAAATCTGTCGGCTGGTAACGGTCCTTCTGAGGGTTACGCTGGATACCAGCAATGAACTCTGGAAATTTAATCATGTACTGCTGGAGAAGATCGACTGCCTTCGGACTGAATTCCCAGCCAGACTCCCCGCGACGGGAGTAGCCAAGGACTTTCTGTTTTCTCGCTTCGAACTTGAGATTCAGACCCAGATTGACGCGCTGCCCCTCCATGTCAACAGAGAATGAGGAGGTGATCTTTGCCAATACCAATGGATTCAAACGCAGGCTGCGAGCAATAGCAAATGATGGCATATAGGGACATAGCCTCTCCGCTTCTCTAGCGCGATCTTTCCCAAATTCTGGCTCGCGGCCCTTGACTGCAGCAATCAAACCATTAACCTTGCCGTCTTCGTGTCCTGTAATGTGCACTGGTCTACCATAATTGAAATCGCCCAAGAAAAAGGCACGCGAGCCTTCCGGGAATTCCTTCTCGATGGGCAGGGCATCACGTTCGATGAAGCGCTCATCGGGGTTGATAACTTCGTCCACGACGAGCTGTAGCGCATAGTCGGTTTCCTGCCCTGGAATATCGGCGAATTCCTTGATTGTAGCACCCTCGTCTGTTTTGATCAGACCCTTGAGAAGTTGAACGTGCACCATTGACTCAACGGGGCCAATAATAGTGCCAAGTCTGCGGCTGTACATCCCTTCGATCTTATCTGCCTTTTTCTTCCACTGATCGATTTGGGCCTCAGTGTGAGGGATGGAAACCACATGATTCTCTCCTTCCGGAAGGAGATAATCGAACAGCTCATCAGATACACGGATGATAAGAGCTTCCTGCAGAAATGGATAGCCGACAAAGACACGCTTCCCAAGCTTCTGCTTTGCCAGCTCAATACTCGATCTGCTCCCCGGGTCGAGTACAGTGATAACCATACTCTCGTTGCGACTCTCCTGTTGGAAAACGCACACGCCGTGGAAACCAAGCTGGCCTACGTGGGGTAGAGTCTTCAAACTTGGGAAACCAGCCAATGCAGCCGCTCCAAGCTGGACACCCTCGACCAAGCCAACATAAGGTTCCAAGCCATCCATGGTAGGCAGATCAAAAATGTTCTCAATGCAATGGCAGCTGGGGATATCAGGGAAGACACCAGGGAGAGATGAAGGGTAGGTGAAGTTCACTTCCGGTGAGTAAGTAAACTTGAGACTAACCCCAAACCCATTTCGCGCTTTTTCTTCTGGAGTCAAGAGGTGCTCTCTGGTGGCAAGAGCTTCCAAGAGGCGACGTTCATCAATGAATGGAATTTTGACAACAGCCTCCCATTCCATCTTCTTGCCGTTCATATCCAATTCAAAATCACGCGGGTAGAAGTCGATGATGGGCGATTCTGGGGACGTCATTAAGTCTCGGAACGCGGCAGGCACAATTTGCTTGCTTCGGTCAGGTAAGACACCCATGAGCTGCTCATAAGGCTTGAACGGTTGGCCCAGTTTGAAATTCATGTCCGCGTTTAGACCCTTGATCACGTCTAGTCATGGTCAGCAAAAGAATGAGATGCTCAGGAAAGTCGTGGTAACGACTGGGAGGAGAAAAGTTATTATGTCAGACGAGTAGCCAGCACGTACCAGAAATCATGGGCGCATAATGATACTTGAAGAACCAGGGCCAAGACGCAATGCCTCTGTAATAATAATACAGAACCCATTGAAGACCTTGCACATAATTTTCCGTCAGTTTCCGCATTTCCTCGTGATTGTCGAGACCCCATCCAAATTTGCTCATGTAATATTTGTCTTTCCAGTCCTGGAATTTTTCCTCGTACTTCTTCTCTGCTGCTTTCTGGGCTTCCTCGGGGGAAATCTCCTGGACCTTCGCATTGTCATATCTCCGAATGACACGCTGTACGGCCATAGACGCCTCTTCATCTTCCTCCTCTTCGCTGTCGTCATCCTCGTTGGCAGGCAGTTGAAGCCTGATGAATCGGTCTCCGTGTTCGTCCGCAACTGTGGTCCACGGTAGTCGCAGGTCGTCTGCAAGTTGCTCCACAAACTTGCGATCACGAGCCGGTAGTGTGGGAGAAAGATCTAGAGGCTTTGAACCTGATGCCTTCTCAGGCCTGTTCAAAACATACTTTTTGATTTCTTTGAAAAGCTCCTTCTGGGCTGGCGTGAGAGTCAGGCCCTTTGGCTTCTCTTGGAACTCAGAACCGTTCTCGACGCCATTCCGTTTGGCGTTAATCCACCTCGCGTCAGAGTATTCGGCTTCAAAGAAGCGAAACTCAACATCACTCAGAGCTTCAACAAGCATACCGAGGCGCTTTAGGTTGATGACACCTCCCTCGTTGACGTAGCCACCCATTTTTGGCAAGACGTCCTTGTAGATCTTAAACATTAGCGAGAGGGCTCCCTCGTTGATGTGCAGATTAGGAAGATTAGGCAAGAAATCGTTTCCAACGAAGAAAGCCATCAGGATAAAGTCATCGATGACCCGTTCCATATCAAAGGGGAAATCCAGAACTCCCTCCTGTTCCAATTCCTGAAACTCCAATTCCAGGTATTCTCGAACCATACAAAGATGCAAGAGGTAGAAGTTTTGGTGCTCAAGTTCCTTAGGCTTCTTCTGGACTTGGCGACCAAATGTCACCTCTTCACGAAGGAGACAGAAATGAGGATCATGACTAAGAAGGCCCAACATGATCAAGTCCGCATCAAGACCATAGAGACAGTGACGAATGTTGGGGTCATACCCTGGCTGTGCTTTCGCATGCCGGATATACTCCATGATCTTATGTTCACCTTCTCCCGGTACTTCATGACCCGACAGCACAATATCTACCCCTTGCCAATCTTTGTCCTCTGAGATTTTCTTGCTGATGAAATACTTCAGTTGTTGCGTCAGCTTTGCCATGAACTCCGTACCGGGAGTGATACAGTTGCTGTCGAATGGATCCTCTTTCGGCATCTCGATTCCCTGGGCTATGGCCTTCTCCTTTGCAACCTCAGCATCCAGGGCTGTTCTAAACCGTCTCGCACGCTGTTGATTCATCTTCGCGCGAGGAGCGACACCGTCAACCGCCATGAAGAACAACTTCCTTGGCTTGATCTTGCCGTACAAATGCTCGATATAGTTGAAGATCGCTATAAACATCTTATCCTCCGTCATGCGAAACGTGGGAGAATCGCTGTCTTTATGTGTACAATTATGAATAATACCGTTCATGTCGAGATAAAGCGCATCGAATTCAGGTATCCGATTCTCCGCGATCAACATGGAGATCGTGGGGTAGCGCTCGCTGAGCCAGCGGAAGAACTTGGGAACACCCATGGCGAATGAATGCGAAGTGTATTCTAATAAGAATGAAGTTGGTCAGTCAATCAGGTGCGGCAGCGTCGCAGACTGTTGTTGTTGTCGCCGTCGTAACTGGTCGTCAAAAATCGATGAAGAACCCAAGCTCGGAGGCAAACCATTCACTGAATGGTAATATAGTCGTAGACAAAAAAGGAACGACTGGGTATCTTCAGGGAATGTAAGACACAAAGACGAAAAGTAAAGGGAAAAAGGACTAGCACTGGAAGCCTAGAAAAGCGAAATAGGCGGCTGAGGCGCCTTCTCGAGGAATAGCAGTTCAATAAGTGGTGATATGAATCTGAAGCAGTGACTCCTCCAAGTGACCACTTTGCGACCTTTGCGGAGTAGAGCCGGCTCCAAGGCCATTCCGCCAAGCCGCTATTCCTAAAGTGGAATGGTTGGTTACGGCGCCAATTAACGCGCTCCCGATGGAAAGGTCGCGTTTCTCAGAGAGAGCGCTCGATGCACAAGTCAAAGCTCTACTCCAACCCCATTGAAGCTCCTATACCTTGCCAATTACCCTGATCTTCACTCTTGCGCAGGCCAGATTAGTCTATTTGGATTTTAAGAGGTATTCCGTGCACCAACAGGACATCATGGAGCCCTACGACGACGGTATAACCTCCGAATTACCTCTCTTTGTGCGACAATAACTGACATGTTTCGTCGCAGCTGTTGTTGAGGAGCATGAGGAGCAGGAAGAAGAGCGTACGGAGGAGAAGATTATCAACGAAGGTATTCTAGATCGACCTCGTTGACTGGCGTCGCTCTCGTTTGACTAATGCGGACCTTGATCAGAATACAAGACATGGAAGAAGAACGCACCTTTTCTTTACGACATGATCCTCAGCACAGCACTAGAATGGCCTACACTCACAACACAATGGCTTCCCGATAAGCAAGAGTATGTACATCGTTCATCTGCTTTGCGCGCAACAATAAACTGACTCGTTTTCAGGGTCCCGGATAAACCGTATTCTACTCATCGCCTACTGATCGGCACACACACTTCTAGCGATGCGCAAAATTATTTGCAAATTGCTCATGTCCAACTCCCCAATCCTTCTGCTCCCAATCCCGACGACTACGATGAGGAGCGCGGGGAAATCGGAGGGTATGGCGGCAGCTCTAAGAAGGCGCCCATGGAAATCAAGTTCAACATCGTGCAGAAGATTGATCACAAGGGCGAAGTCAACAAGGCCCGGTATCAGCCACAGAACCCCAACATTATCGCTACCATGTGCACAGACGGCAGGGTTATGGTCTGGGATCGCTCGAAACACCCGAGTCTGCCAACGGGCCAAGTCAACCCTCAGATGGAGCTCATCGGCCATACGAAAGAAGGATTCGGTCTCAGCTGGAGTCCGCATACTGCGGGACAACTTGTTACCGGCAGCGAGGACAAGACAGTCCGAATCTGGTAAGAAATTTGTATTCGCTCTGCTTGCACTGGTAACTGATCATTTGACACAGGGATTTGACGACATATTCAAAGGCCAACAAGTTACTGAAGCCTTCCAGAACTTACACTCACCATTCGTCCATCGTCAACGATGTTCAGTATCATCCTCTTCACTCGTCCCTTATTGGCACTGTATCCGACGACATCACTCTTCAGATTCTCGACATTCGAGAATCAGAGACAACTCGTGCAGCTGCATCTGCAGAGGGTCAACACCGCGACGCCATCAATGCCATTGCTTTCAATCCCGCCGCCGAGACCGTTCTAGCAACCGGGTCTGCCGATAAGACGATAGGTCTTTGGGATCTGCGAAACTTGAAAACTAAACTGCACTCGTTGGAAAGCCACACTGACTCGGTTACTTCAATCTCATGGCATCCTTTCGAAGAAGCTGTTCTGGCCAGCGCGAGTTATGACCGTAAGATCGCTTTTTGGGATCTCAGTAGGGCAGGCGAGGAACAGACTCCTGAAGATGCCCAAGACGGCCCACCAGAGCTGTATGTCATCTAGCATTCTTTCTGTTGTTCGTCTATTCGATACTAATTTCCTGTCCAGTCTCTTCCAGCACGGCGGGCATACCAACCGCATTTCTGACTTCAGTTGGAATCTGAACGATCCGTGGGTTCTTTGCTCTGCTGCCGAGGACAATCTACTCCAAGTATGGAAGGTCGCCGATGCGATTGTTGGCAAAGATTTGGAGGATGTGCCAACCGAGGAGCTGGAACCTTGATTTAGAGAGTTGATGGAGGATGATGTCCAGAATATTGATACATGTACGGTGAGGTCTAGTCAATTACATTGTCGACAGTACACAGCATAGCTGCGCATATTAGTGCAATTATTAAAATATCAAGTGTGAAGAAGTTCGGGAAAGAATGAAAAGCTGAATGTATCCGATACGTTTCCTTTCGATGATTGAAATTGTAGCAAAAACAAACAGGAGAACAACCGAATTTTATACTGGCCTTATCTGCCAGCCCTTATCAGGACACTTCGGGGTGCCATTCTCTTCCTCGTAACACAGCAACCATTCGATCATCTATGGTGGAAGAAATATAGAATTGTTATATGACTCGATCATGCCTCTAGATATCCATTGCGAACCAAGCACGGGTCAGGCCAAACCGTAAAAGAGTCGGACACTCTTTTCCCCTCAACCTGATATCCGTACACTTCTAGTATATCTGACTTCTCATTGTTGAAGATAACAATAATTGCCGTTATATACTTGATACATATACCACGGAATGCCGAGGCTACTGCAACCATGCATGGCAGATGCACGTCATATATATATGGCTGAATTAATTTCAGGACAGAACTTGATGTTTCGTTTCCATCCCACATTGTTCCTTATCCAAGACTCCATTGGAGGCAATACAATGACCGTCATTGCATGTCATAGGCGATGACTCAACTAATTCTATGAGCAATTGACTAATTGAGTGGTATAATCAAAGTAATCAGCGCAGGAGGCGAATGGCCCTAGGCCACTAATTTAACCTGAACTACGCCAAACTGGGACTAGCCAACCCCCCGCCTGCAGTTCTCTCTCCAACGGTTGTTTATGTACCAATAATTTTGCCTCCTGAGCCAGGCGGTGAGAGACGCCGATGAAATCAGATCGGCGTTGGACAACTTTCGGAGGGGTCAAGTTCCTCCGAAAAAGAAGAATTACTAGCTAACGGCCTAGTAATTCAAAACGCCGACCTCCGTTGAACTGAACTTTCCCCCCTCTCCCTCTCCTCGCAATAAATGATGATTATTATTCTCTCGCTGCTTGTTTGTTCAATCTAGGACGTCCTCTATTGTCGTGTTCTGAGCGCTCGATTCGGTTACTCATCTGATTGACTCTGTGATCAAGGCGCCGTCCGGCCGATCCTCTTTACCACTACAAATCTCACCCTCCCTATCGCCCCTCCACTTTTGTATCCTCGATTACCTCCAGGATCAGCCATGAGCTCCGGATCTCCTCCTCCAGGCCCAAAGCCTAAGTCTGCTATTCCATCTCACCTTTTGAATGGTAGCTCTCCTCTTCACCCTTCCAATACCACTGGCGGTCGTGACGCTCGTGAGCGCGAGAGTCTAAACTCATCCATCCGCTCCTCTTTTGCTCCTCGCATCCCCGCTGAGTTCAACTTGCCGGAAATAGAAACTCATCATGTCAGCGATGCCGCCGATACCTATAATGGACCTGTTCGGAATTCAGGCATTGTCAGGTAGATCAGCTCTTGTTGATCAAAAAGAAACAAAGCTGATCCTGTTCATCCAGGCCTACCTTGAGCGATCCCCCGCGAGACCCCAGAGACGAGGGCGGTGCTTTAACCCCCCGGCAAGTGCCAGTCGACCATCTAGCCCGTACACTTCGAATCCTCCAATTGACTTTGACGGGTTGAGTTGGCCTTGTAAGTCACTGTCGTGGTCTTGGCTCTTGGATTACTGTCTAGTTGATCATGTACTAATTGACTCTGTGGATAGGCCCCGGCACGAGAGCACGATTGGAATCTACTCCTGAGCAAACTGAAGAGCGCATTCAGAAACTTGCAGGTGCTGTAAGAACCATTTTTGAATGCATTGGAGAGGACCCGGAAAGAGAAGGTCTGCGGGAGACCCCCGAGAGATATGCCAAGGCTATGCTCTACTTCACCAAAGGCTACGAAGAAAATGTCAGGGATCTTGTCAATGGAGCAGTTTTCCATGAGGACCACGATGAGCTGGTCATTGTCAAGGATATTGAGGTGTTTTCCCTCTGCGAACATCACATGGTACCTTTTACTGGGAAGGTAAGAATGTCATCCGTGATTTTCGAATATGTCCACTGATAAAATTCCTTGGGATACAGATGCATATCGGATACATCCCTGACCGTCGGGTGCTTGGTCTTTCCAAGCTAGCCCGGCTGGCGGAGATGTTCTCCCGAAGACTTCAGGTGCAAGAACGTCTCACCAAGCAAGTTGCCCTCGCCATCTCGGAGGTTCTGAAACCCCGCGGCGTTGGTGTCGTCATGGAATCCTCCCACCTTTGTATGGTGATGCGTGGTGTGCAGAAGACCAGCAGCACCACGACAACCAGCTGCATGCTTGGTTGCATGCGGTCCAGCGCGAAGACCCGGGAAGAGTTCTTGACGCTCCTCAATAGAAAGTGACGCTCAGACTGAGCCAGAATATCTGGGTTTTTAAGATTTGTTACCCCGTTTTAACAGTGGATGACATTTACGATTCGCATAAGGAGTTATGGTGGTTACCTTTCAACAGGTCGTCGGCTGTTGGCATTTTGTTTTCTGGATGATGTCCCAAACAAGGAGTTCTGTTTTCTTCTTATCATACACAAAAGACTCTCTTACATCTTTGCATATGCAAATATTTTGTATAATTTTCTCTTTCATCTCTTGTTGGTCCAGAGCTTCGAGGCATCTTACGAATTTTGGTTTATTCATCCACACAGAGCTGGAGGATCGGAGATTGGTGACAGGTCAAAAACAGATAGACGACGGAAATACAGGTCCTCACTAACATCTAGGCGTCCTATATAACATATCTTGGATGTTGGACTCGAACCTTGTCACTTGGCTGGCGTGTTTGATTGATTCAACACTACAATCACTTTGCAAGTTCATAAACTGACTTTGTCTACTACATATTCAGCATACTATAAGGTCATTGCTACAAAATTCTGATGAATACGCATCTTCTTGGATTGGTCCCTAACCCGCCGAGACTGTCCATGGCTCGTTTTGTGCCCTGACCACCTTCAGTTGGAAAGGTGAATGTCAACGGAGATCTGCCGTATTCTGCTGTGGTGATGCAGTAGTGAGGGTTCAAGCATCGTGCTTTGGACCGCTGGTCTTAGTCAGGTGGTGGTTGTGTTTTGGATATTCACTTTCAACGCGCGTGTCAAAATTCACCACACGATGATCCCGAGTCCTTTGTTTACATCTCTTTCTTGTTTATCGCTCTTCTCTTGACGCACCTTTAACCATCCTCTGTATCTCTTAACAAACATTTCCTTCCAGTCAGTACCTTGCTCGGCATTTCCTGTAGACATTGTTCATTTACCAACAACAGGTCCGTCTTTCCCTTCATCGCACCAGAGTGTCTGGGAGCAAACGCCAATGGCACGAACCATTCAGAGTGAGTTGACTCCAAGTGCTCATGAAAGTGGGGAAAGGATTACTGCTAACCACAGGTACACTGTAGCGGACCGCAAACAGTCCAAAGCACCTACCAGGCCTGAACGCACTCCTGATGAGTTGGAGGCCGGCGAAGCTCTAATACTCCTCTCCAGGGGGTTTGGAGAGCGCGCAGCAGGCCCGAAACAGTCCTCAAACACAAACATGCAGACAGAAAATGATCAGGGTAACTACCAAACGCAGAACAACCGGGGTGTGCCCGCGAATACCAATTTCCGTCTTCGTCAGAACACGGCATTGGCCCAAGCAGGTGGTAGGATGCAGATGCCTCAAAACGTTCCACAGCCACCGGCGAATGTTGCCTTGCCGGCAATGCAAGCGGGCCCCTATTGGAACGGTAACCCAGCCGCAGCACAGCGAGTTGCTTTGACGGGCCAGGAGGCGCTGCAGGCATATCTGATCAGACAACAGATCCTTGCAGGTGTGGCTCCCCAAGACATTATCATGATGAGAGGACCACCGCAGCATGGACGTCAAGCCGTCCCACCACTGGTGCAGATAACGAACCAAGGTGTTTGTGCTCCTGTCATACCTCCCGCGACATTCAACGGCGTGTTTCACCCATTTCCGATGTTGCCTGTTCAGCAGAACATACCCAATGTACCGGCACCTACGGCGGCACCTGATGTTCCCTATCCTGCTGTTGCACCTGGTATTCCTGCTCAAGCCACTAGAGCACCTCAGTGTCATTGTCCTCCTAATGGGCCTATGATGCCACAGGAAGCTGGCCAATTTCATGTTCAACGACCCTTGAACAGATATCATCCTGACGCTGCAGCAATGGCTGGTTTGGATGCAAACATGCCTGCTCAAAACCGAGTGGTCTTACCAGCGGCTATGCAGCCCAATGGGCAGCAGCCTCAAGGCACACATTTTCTACTCGCCAGGACTATAGCGGAAAGAAATGTGAACATGCCCGCAAATAATATGCCAGCGAGACATATTGGAAATCTTATGAAGACAGCTGGGCCTCAACGTCCGTCGCGCAAAACACCCCAAATCAAAACCGAGTCTCCTGAGCTTGAGGAGGTCCTTGCAAATCAAGTTGACCATACTGGCATTCGGAAGACCGTACTCGAGGCAACCGGGCGCAGACGTCTGCTTCCCCAACCGCATACTGCGCCCCAGCCTCCCAACGGCGGGCATAGATCTGCATCCAATGCCACAGACACTAGGCAATCTTCGGCCATACCGACTGCCGCAGCGCAGAGCGCAAACAACGCCGCACAGCATACTCGCAACGAAAGCAAAAGCAGCAGGCGCCATAATTACAACATGCTCAAGTCCCTCATTTGCCATCCATCTATGGCGTTTTTGGTATTTGACCATCTTGAAATAGAGGATGTGGTCAGTCTGCATCTTAGTTGCAAGCGTGTCCATCAATTTGTGAGGAGCGTTCTGGCAATAATCGTCATGCGTAAGGCGGCACAGAAAGCGCCCGAATCACTGTGCGCATTTCCGTTTCTTTGCTATAAACGACTTTGTGATCGCTGGTCGGCGCCACCCGGGCTGAAATTGAACGATGTAACTTACATCATACCCTCAGTTCGGTGGTTGAAGATGGTCTTGTTCCGCGAGGCGGTCGTCACGGACATCATGGAGCGCATGGCTGACAAGGGCTGGAAACTGCCCAACCGATGTGCCACGGTTGTGAAGAAGCTCTGGTTCTTGATGGACATTCCGGACAACAGACGTCGGACCTGGACAATCAGAAAGAAGACACTATGGACTGACAACGATCTATTCCTCGCAGCTTATTTCATTGTGCAGCTGGATATGCTCTTCATGGACAGCCGCGCGAGGAAGAAGCAAGGTAGCATGAGACGCCTGCTCATGGCCCAGCCCAGCTTGACTCTGCTGTGGGATGTACTCAGGGACGGCGCGTTGACTACGCATTACGAGACACTCAAGGCATACGTGCGCTGGCAGTATATCCCCCGGGCACATGAAGCGGGTTTGTTTGTTTTTGGCGTGCCACCTAATGAGGTTGGTTCTCTACAGTGGGAAGGATACGGCCGAATGGCAAGAAATGTTAAATTTCAGCGACCAGACGAGCTTGTTTTGAGAGAGATCAAGGACCGGAATCTTGACATGCAGCGTATGTATGTGGACATTATCCTATCTCATGAGGTTGAGCCCAAGGAAGATGCTTCACCATACAGGTGGCATGAGGAGATCATGAAGGAGTTCGGAAACTTGCCTTGGATGCAGGTCGTGAACGTGAAATGACTTAATGACTGCATGACTGCATGACTGAGATACAACGAGGCCTGTTATGTTCAAAGCATGTAGGTGATGGCTTAAGGTTGGGGAATTGGGGCAGCTTCGTGGGTGGTTCCGGCGGTTTCTGTTAGTGTAGATATGGTATCGCTCTTTCAAAGCGGACAATGTAAGTAGTACTTGAAATTCTAAAACGCACTATGTAGGTTCATCTTTTGTATGAAGTTACCTAAGGTAGACCTATTAAAATGAGAAGTTCTGTACCATTCTCCGTCAACAGCTGTTGGAGGGGGATGGCCGAGGTAAAGTCACGTGCCGCCGGAGCGGTCTTTCTTGTCTCCGCGAGTCGGAACAGGAAGGGAAGCCACAACTTGACGTTCTCCCCACGGACACCATCAACCATCATCTCGTATACTTGCCAATAGATTCCAAGATATGACATATCACCATAAGATAGAACTCGGATCAGAAGGGGAGAATACTACTGTATCTTTTTCTGATGCTTGTCACATTTGGGATGGTCGAGGGTCGCCAGCCGGGCAGTCCTCGGCACTAACCCTGACCCAACCCACCATGTCCGTTGTTCCGCACATCAACACCACGAACAAAGACGTTGAACTGCAACGACGCTGCCTGGGAGGACTGAACTCTCTACGGCAATTTCGTGTTCTCATTTTTGATTTTATCGCTCTATCCGCGCATGCAAGAAACCCACGTTTGTTTCAGTGATTATTCACCAGGTATGCTTCTTACATGATTGCATTCAAGATATGAGGCCTGCTAGTACAAAGACTAGCCCACAGATCAAGTCCAGAGACAGTCTCTCACGGAGTGACAAGGAGCTCGGCTAAGTATACTGAGCTTCCACTGTACCTTTTATCAGTCAAATTCTGGTTTACCGGCTTCGCCCGAAGTTCACCAACATGCGAATATTGGCAGTAAAAGACGGATGATCTAGGTGATATGTCGACTTGTTTGCGTGTTTTTGTCGTTCGTGGGTAGATATCAACAGCAAAGACCAAGTATCACTCTGCTGATGTACCCATTTTGTGGATCGATAAGAAGTTCCGGACAGGCGGTCCCTTCTGGGCACAGCTGAGGATGCCTCGTCCACTGAGTGCATACAGGTGGCAGCGGATTAGAACCGACTATATTTGAGGGTTCCATTGCAGCTTAGGCTGCTGATCAAGTACTAACAAAACCAGGGAGGGCCATGGTCTTACACTCAGACGTCGTTGACGGGATTAGTCCTAAACGTCCTTGAGCGTCTCCTTGGTCACGCTGTCCGTTTCTTGTCTTTTGCTTGCCGTAGATAGGGGCTTTTTCCCAACCATTGGAGCAACGAAAGATGTCTTTCACAGGCAAGAGGCTCCTGAGCCAGGCACGGGAAGAATCTGGAAGCTGACCATCTGGAAAGAATGACGCGCGAGCATTAGCTCGGGCATCACATTTCCTGAGATTGGTTAAGGGAGAGATAAGACACGGTAAGAGCAAAGAGTGAGAGAAACAGGGCAGTCAACGGTCTCCAGACTGTTCCATTTCTAGCCAATGGTACCGGCCAAACTCGAGGCATAATTGGGCGCTTCTTCATGGAAGGACAGTGTTCCATGCTGGCCAAGCTGAGTGAGCAGAACCCGTGGCAGCAGCATTGTGCTTATGGTGACTCGGTCTTCCATCGCCCTCTGCTTGAAGCCAGGGCTCCATCGAGCAACATTCGTAGTAGATCCGACTGTGTG